TCGATTTGACGAAACATCTTTTCACACACGGTTTTCGTCTCAATGTAACGACGCGGTCGCGTTGACGATAATAGCAATTGACGGTTGGACGATGTGAAAAACGCTAGTTGAATACAGTCAGTTCCTGAGAAATGGTAAATTAGGAAAGTGTCCTCAAATGATGTATGTAGTGGTAACGATGAATACCGATGATGGTTTCACGTAACAGTTGCGTCATTTTACTGGCGCCAACTTGAAACGACGTATGTTCATCCCGTGGCCTAACGGGTTAGACAGGTGATCAGAGATTCGTATTCCTCTAAATGCTCATGAGAATCAAAACGCTGATTAATCCTAATAAGGCAAAGCAACAAAGCAGATTTAAAACCTGTCAAATGCTGCCAGGTTCTTAGTAAGGATGAAAATCTGTTTTTTGTAAGTGAATGAAAAACTACGTATCAAGTTCCTGGAACTTAACATGCCAAGCCGAATTGTCATACATAGAATACAACAAATCGATTTACATCCTACTAAGCCTAGACAGAATTATCGATTTCTCATGTTACCCTGTTGTTGTCTCAACGAGTTCGGTTTGGTAAAGGCATTCACTTTGTAGGTAATTGCTTTGATTACAAAGCCTATTCAATAAGGAAGAAAGCGAAAATTTGCCACCGTACTATACATAGCATATTTCTTCCAATGGCTTCGCTGAGGGATTTTTTTTGAGAGTATTCGGCAAAACGACCTTACAGGTGACTGAAAATCCAAAAGACTAAGGTGAAGAATTAAACTAAACACACTGTATACATTTTGTCATACAAAGCTGCGTGTATGTTTTATCCCTGCATGCTGGTGATGTTGGTACTTGATAAGTAGAAAAACAAAGTAATTATGGGGGCGGCTTTCTTGGTTTTCTGTATACTGTATGTTTCCTGCGGTTAGAAACCGTGGCGCTTTCCGTAAGATGATTCAGTAAATTTCTTAGGATGATCCAACAGAAGTCCAGATTACAAGAACGGCAACGAACAGGAAGTAAACAGTTATATACAATATACTAAGTATTCACAATATAATCAGTCCAGTCTGATCTTCTAAAAAAATTAGTCTGGTGCAGATTTCTTCAGTCGTTTTAAGAACATATTACATCCCAGTCAAAACTATTTGTTACTACCTCAAAGCTAATTTTGTTCTCCTAGATGAACTGGAATACAATAATACAGGCTCTGAAAAGTTGTTTATCTAGATATCGGTTGGTTGTTTGCGAATGTACCTCTACACTATGGAGTTTGCATACTGTGTGTGCTTTCCTGTTGATCAAGAATCTCCCCTTGGGTTGTCCTGTTTAATTTTACCACTTGTGTCAGTCTTCCCTGAGCATCCGCTTTGATTACAAGTTTGAATGAGGTGCTCATAGAAAAACTGACGTTACCATGGAGAGCCCATTTGTTCCACACCAGCTGGAAGTCTACTGGGGACAGACTAAAAGATTACTGACAGTATTTTGGGTGCTTTATTGTACAGATGCTATGGTGACAAGACTTTTTATAAAAGCTAAAATTGAACGTGCTAATGAGCTGTTTATTTTCCTTACATCGCTTCACCCAAATCTACTTGCGCCATCTGTACGTAAGATTGCTCGCACGCAGATAAGCTGTTGGTTTGTTTAAACCTTTAGCTTTCTGGTAGTTAACTTGAAGTAGTTAACATTCACACTCCTTAAGTATTTCATAGATCTCTCTTGGCTGAATCAAAACCATTGTTTAGGGACAGAGGAATCTACCACCCAGATAAGCCTAAGGAGAAAGAAGAATTCAAGAAGGTTGTATTGATTACACACAGCGTTTTTGTTGTAACTTGCTGTACGGTAGTGCAACTCTTTATCGGCCCCTTGGCTTCCTGCTCCGCCCACTATGGTATATCAGAAGGCACGGTGGCTCTAGACAGCCCTTTATGGAGACAAAGGAAAATCACTACAACTGTATTTATAGGGTAGTCACACAGTGTTCCACAAGGTCGTGCCAGAATGTCCGTGAGGGGGCGAGAAGCGTCGAGTCAAAGGTGCCTGACTCGGATTGGCTGGCATTCTGACCAATCAGGGCATGCCTTCGTCTGGCCCGTGTCCTACACGTGACACATGCGTCCAAATGATGTGATGTTCGGTTATTAGAGACGGCTGGCCCCCTAACAGTTTTATCCTAATTTATAGCGCAACTAAATATACCAAAAACCATGTCTACGATGCTGAAGTGTAGGCACCATTCACCGGTGGTAATTCGGCCAGTAGTATCAGGCAGACGAAATTCGGCCTTCAATGCGGTCTACAAAGTTCCACAAATCACCCACTGAATTGCAAGCCACTTTGGTGCTAAAGAAGGACTCAGCTAAGCTGTTCTCAGAAATCGTAGGGATAGTGTGCCGTGTCAAGAAAATATATGGTAATTTCCATGTTGTCGTGAAAAATGAAATGTGAGCCGGATTTTGTGGGCCACATCTAGTCGAATAACACTGAAAAAGATAGTCATCCAGGTTTTCCTTTACAAACAATTTAAGTTGCAAGTTTGTGGATTTAATTAGCTATGTACAACCTGGTGTTGAAGCAGAAAACAACAATGATGGGAACCCATGGAACATACCTACCTAGTGAATCCCAAGAAGGGTGAAATTGATAATGGTCTGTTGAAGTGTTTTCAGTAAACTTATGAGCAGTAGGCTACTTACACAACTGTTTACCAAAAGTGGTTCGTCAGGCTTATCATCAGCCCCTATAGTTGATCAGTTTCTCGATGGTTGTAAAGACTTCTCAAAAGTGATGGAGTTTACCTATGTCTACCAGAAGCTAAACACATACCATCTCAATAATATGGGGCAGCTGACTCAGAAAGTTCAGAGGTCAAAGTGTGCCTCAACAGCTTCAGTTGTTGAGCTCCTGTTGCGAGCATACCACAAAAATCCCCTTAAAACGTGCCTGCTGTGTTCCTTTGCAACTGGAGACCTAAACTACTGTCCACAGTTGGAGGCGTAGTCATCGAAATTTTCAGGTGTGCACAAGTTGGCTTCAATCGGGTGGCTTTATTTAAGGTCGACTATGTGCTTGTTCCACCTAGTTGCTAGCTCTTTCTTGTTACTAACAGTCAAGTTTAATGAACAAGTGAACAGAATAATAGGAATTAAATGTTTTGACGACAACCTGGACAAGACCCCATGTAAATTTAGGATAACTCGGAGTGGTGTGAAGGGCTTTGGGTTTCAAGTTTGAATCATTTGGTTACCTGAAGAGGGAATCAAGTCACTCTCAGACTTCTTCCAATACAACTGAGCTTGAAAAAAATGCAATAAAGTGCAAAAAAATGCTCTGACACGGAAAATGTAGAAAAGGGGTGAAGCATCTTACTTGTTAGACAACTTGCTGACGAATCGGCTTTCTGGCTATCAAGCTAGCCATTCTTAATATGTGGAAAATCATTTTCAAATGAAGAGTGGCACCCGATTGGGAAAGTTAGCAATAAAATAAAACGGATATAAAGACCCATCGAGAAAACGATGACTTCATTTTCTCATATTCAAATTTACTACACCGACAGCCTGAAATTAATAGCTAACTGAAGGCAGAGTATCTTTTTCACTGGTTACTCGGCTTGGTTGTACTTTTTCCACACTGTACAACATACATATCTTGACAACAGCATTGTGACAAAGGAGATGAAGACTGTTTGTCACTATACATCTAACCCATAGGGCGTAGCATCTGAATCGATTGTGACTTCTGTATGGTGTTACCTGCCCTGATCAGTAGACCAGGCAACCTGTAATTTATTTTTGCTTGTTTATCCTAACTACCGTTGACTCTCGTTGGTGACCGGACAACACATAAAGCCTAGCTTAGGCATTGGACCGGATGTTTATGACAGAAGGATCGACCCACACTGTGTGAAAGATACTACGCATCCCTTTTGAGGCAAACTGACTTAACCGACAAAACAAAACGTGCCCAAATGAGTAAAGTTTGGGTCACTTGAAGCTCGGATACCCATTTAATCAACGATTTTGACCAAATATGACCATAACTCACCTAGGTGTAAAACTGGCCACGTAATTTCTCATCATAGAACCAAAATTGACTAAAATTTTGCTCAAGGAAATTCGCGTGAAAACAGACAAAAGTGAGATATATGCGTCAAACAGTTATGGAGCCAACTTATGGTGCATTCCAGCAAGAGAAATTTCGTAATTTATTCAATTTTGGTTCCACTTTGACTCTTTTTTGACTCAATACATTAACAGATAATTCACAGTACTTTGCATTGACAATTCCTATACTAGTAGCTCACTTGACATCACAGACATACACGGGACCGAAAATGGAATATTACCGTATCTCATGCTATTTGCAATCAAATATCAAGGAACTAAGCATGCTTTCCAATTTCGGTAATCCGTAACAAACCTCAGTTCAGTTCTTTCAAATCAAACGTTCCAGCATCAGGCCATGGCTGGGTTCAGCTAACTTGTCTCAGATTTTCATCCCTTTCAACATCGGAACGTCCCACTAATTTGAATGAGGCATTTTGGTGGCACTGCTATGATTTTTCAACGAGATCCTAGAGGGGTTTCTGAAAGAATCTCAGTATATTGTCCCTCCAAATTAAGGTAAACAAAAGCTGTGCGATTCTTCGTCTTTCTCCCCGTGGAAATACCAGTTTGCGCCGAGACCTTACTGGGATCCCATGGAGATATCTTAAGGTCACCATCGGGACATATCTAGTTTCCTATAGAAAATGATTTTGTAACTATCGCTCATGCTGAGATTGCAGAGGTGTGAGATATCGAATGATCTGGCAGTGTCCGCCAGCCTGATCGATTTCTGGCACACGGACTCTTTCGCACATGGTATTAAGTGACGGAATTTTACAGTATACTTCGAGTTTCACCTTGGAGCTGTAGTTTTTGTACCAAAGGCTACCAAGTGGATGGAACTGACATTTCGCAACGTTTGATAGGAGAACAAGGAGTTTTAAAGAGTGGTCTGGAGTAGTGATTAAAAAATCATTCTCAGAACATTCGCCAAAAGTCCGTCAGATTACAGACATTAGGAGGACAACAGTTTTTGCTGTATGCTAAGTTGCAACAATATAGAATGAAAGAAGGAAGAAACAGCAAACGTGCATCCGGTGCTTCTGGTGTCGACACGAATAATACTACCCGATTGCACAAGTAGACAAGGTATAGATAAATTCATAACTATATCACAGCTGTCGTGAGATGTGCTTCTTTTGCGAGTCAATAACGATGAAGAAGTACCGAGGAAGCAAAGTGAGCACCTAAGCGTAGATGAAACATATCTATAGAAAAAGTCATCCACTGAATCGAGCCGAGCAGTACCAAAATGAGCGGACAATCCGAATCGTTGAATGTCTGTAACTAGGTCCTCTAGAGGAAATATCAACGAAGGAAGTCAAAATAACAGTGTATCTCTGAATCTAACTGAGGAGAGTAGGAAAAACCCAAACCCGAGGGGGTGTTTGCTAGGTTGCCATGGTGATGGCATGTGCGTGCGCTTGTCTGTGTGTGGGTAGGAAGATGAAGTCTACGGATTGTTGTTCTTGGAGAAACTGTTTATGTTATTAGGTAATAGCATGATAGCTAAACGCTTGTGGGAAGAGAGCAGATGATGTCCACCCACAAGGGACCCTAGGAGATGATTGATTGCTTACAATGGCCAAACCCAGAAGGTGGATACAAAATGTTTGCTCTGGCTTAGTGGCAAGCTAAGATGCTCGAGGAAATATGAATGTGTTTTGTTGTGAAGGGCAGACAGGAACCTGTACCCGTCATAACTTAGTGAAAGGCCTCCAATCTCGGCGTTCCGAAATATAAATCGTATAAAGATGGAGGGTTTTCGAGAAAATGTGGTCTCTGTTGAACAAAAAGTTCAGATTCCGTAAGTCAAGCTCGCGCCTGTCGATAACGAATCGACCTGAAAATGGAAACGAAGGGGATAAACATCCATTGAGAGCATACTACCATTAAGCACAAATAAAGTTGAACTTTGTAAGAAAAATGAGATTTCAAAAATAATGTAATGAAACGAGACAAGATACTGGGGCCTTTTTAAATGACAATAAGTGTCAATGAGCCACAGAACTCCTTGCCTGATGTGTTATCTGACAGCTGCGCTGAAGAAAGCCCCACTCTATATAACCCTTATTCGGTTTATTAAGATTGGTCCCCTATCTATTTTAATGACAGTCGAGGAATTGCACAGCGACTGGCCACAGTGAGCTGGTTGGTGCTGCCGTCCAAGCACTGATGTAGGAGGTAGGGGGTTAGAATATATCCAATGGAGAACTCTAGGTACACAATGTACATAATCCTATAGAGTTCGATCTCATCCGCCCACCCCAGGCATCCGTCCATGTTGGGTGTGATTTCTGTTGTCACTCAAGATGTGCAAAATCACCTCCTTACTTTACACCAGACCACTTGAAGTTCAATGGTCGATATATTTTCCTACCGACGCCCATTCATTCATTCATTCATTCATTCATTCATTCATTCAGAAATCCACTACCTGTGAGTTGTATTCACAACACTACCAGTGCTCCACGGGTCACAGAAAATACTGATTCTCTGTTATAGGTTGAAGATTCCGTGTCCGACCACGTCACAATAAAGCACAACAAAATAACGGTTGTAGAAATCATCATTGTACACAGGGTATGATACTGTCAGGGCCCCTAAACATGGACGGGAAGACAATCAGGGTCTACGAATAAAGTCTTTGTCTGGAAAGCTTGACCGTAAAATGCCAGTGCACTGCATTTGACGTACGGCAACGAAGCATCTGCGCTTGGATACCGATGCTGTGCCGTCGATGACGGCAATGATGGTGATAATGGAATAATCAACTCGGAATATTGGTATTCGAGTGGAGAATCTAGCACACAAGAGAATGGTGGCCAATATACATAAGTACAATTTTTTGGGTGGAAACATAAACTACTAGTTTTTAGTCGGTGCATGGTTGAATCTCATGGTTTTGAACAGCTCAGAAAAAGATGAGAACCACTAGGTTAATACTTTTTACTTGTTTACATCCGCTTAAGTATAACGCACTGGATTTGCCCAATAGGAATAGACACGATCATATGTGACTCCAAACAAGAAATTGGATGAAGGTTTGGTGCAAGATTCTTCGAAATACATACTGTGTTAACTGTAGTGCATCACTATACTACTGTAATATTATATTAATCTAAAATGAAAAGCGAACTGTATTCAGATCCTGCATTAATAAGCCGTAATTTTCACAGATGAAACCTTATAAGCACTAATAGCGAACCTGTGAATGAGACAGTCACAAACACCAACCAGACTTCACTGGGACATCTTGGACAGAGTTTAACAGCCAGCATAGTGGCCAAGCGATATCTGTATCTCTCCAAGTCTTCTTTCAAGCGCAAAAAGAGCGAGTGAAACTCAGTCTAGTAGGGCTGACCGGACCACGAGCGCAAAGAGGTTTGCTTAAGCCTTTTTTCTTAATTCTTCGCTAGTCTGAGTCACGCATGAAGCACTTCTCGGTGGCAGCCACTTGGCATGAATATAATTAGTCCGAGCCACCAATGTACTTGGTAGTTTCTGTGTTATTATTAGTTGTAGTTGCGATTGGCGAACACACTCTATACTAAAATAGCTGATGTTTCATATCTTACATTTTACTGCTGTCGCTACTAACCTACTGCTGCTTGTCAATCAAAGACATCGAACTGTCGGTGCCGCTAATGCGAATGCAAAACTCACTTACGAAGTGAGCAGGCAGGTAGCGAGTTCTAGCGTGCAGATGGGAATATAAGTTCCCAAGGTAATTTGGCTGACAAACACCATTGGTTCTCCTGAGGAGAGGTAAACAACATAAGAGACTGTTTTTCAAGAGATGCCGCTTTTGCTCAGCCATTTGAACCCTCTGTACTGTAAGTCGGTCGCTCCGGGTGGTCTCCGCAGGGCAACGTAGTTTTGTGTAAGAAGAAGTCTGTCTCATATCCAGGGTAGTTCAGTCAACGTGTTACGCTAAAGCGACACCCAGGGAATTATAAACTACGGCACAGGTTAGACCAGTTTAGCTGCACGGCTGTGACAGACTTGGGAAGTGCAAGGTGTGTCCGGACCACATGCATGGCGTACATGTTAGACATGTTAGACTTATCTTCTTGCGATGCGCATGAGCTGGTAAACAATGCATTAACTAACGGTCTTCACGCCATTCAACTGTGCGTGATTAGAAAACAGGAAAGGAATTGTGCTGACTTCCGGAAGGAGAGAGTAGTTGATTCATTTCAAGGGAATAAAGTTTTCATGTGAGTGACTCATTTGCATAAGTAACTGGGAGAAAAATGACTGACTCGACTAAATGTTGTCAGCCAGCATATCATGATCGAACGAATAATCCGAAACGAGACGATATAGCGTTCGTGATGTTTAAAATACCTTCATCCGTCTCCAACTTACGTATCGCCCGTGGCATCATGGTAGCCCAGTGCAGAACCGGAAGGCTTGGCGCCGACACAACTCTGCTCCTCGGTATTTCGCTGTTTCGCTAGCGCCCGACGTCGAATCTCATACATCAGAATTACAATGAAGAGGACGACTACTTCGAGCACTATTCCAATGAGAGGCCAAAAGACAGCCCATCGGTCTGGAACGTAAGATGAAATGGGCGTGTTCAGAAGGTGGTTTACTGGGTCTTATATAGGCATCTTTATCGAATAGGCAAATTCGCTCATTTCACAATATGAACCACAAGGTACGGTTTCCCTGCTTTTAGGCAAGAGCTTCACCAGAAGAAAATAATGCCGCACTAGTTAGTTTTTCCGGACCGAGAAATTGTCAAAAGTAGACGGAAAAGAAAGATGGATTCCATTGAGCCCCTCTTAATTATACAACATGCGTCCATCCAAAAATGAAGTGTTACTAGGTTCATTGATTGTTTCAAGGAGCTCATGCATTGTTCAGTGTTACCTGTTTAACTCCAAAGTATTGGCTAATGATAAGTAGCTCAGAAGGAAAAGTGGTTCACGGGGCGCATGAAATTTTCGTCTAGGAAGTGATCAAAACGGAACTACGTGATGTGAATTCTGTCATTAAAGATGAGTGGCACTGTGTCTGTCTTACTGAATGATAAGTAGCTCAGAAGGAAAAGTGGTTCACGGGGCGCATGAAATTTTCGTCTAGGAAGTGATCAAAACGGGACTACGTGATGTAAATTCTGTCATTTAAAGATGAGTGGCACTGTGTCCTGTCTGACTGCTGATCAGCTGCTCGAAGCTCTGTTACTAGGCGAAAGGTGGCGGGTTCGAATCTCCCCAAATATTTGTGAGATAAATAACTGGTGAATCTCAATCAGAATAAACACAGGCGTACATTTGGGCAAGGTTTAGCTGAGTTATTTGGCGCATTTCTAGCTCCTAGGAAGAGCAGAAAAACCTATGAAAAGTCAATTTATTCTACGTAGACTTATCCGGAATATTTCACATTCGATTATTCTTAGACATTGTTAGTTGCGCGCTGCAGCCAGTCTCAAACCAACTACATTTCAGTTTTTAATGGTACAAACTTCAAAAATATTCTCCGCAGATTTTCATCGTTTCAGGAGTGATATGAATTGGAGTAGATTGCCAAGCTTGAAATTCACGGGCAACCTACGCCATATGATATCCAGTAACAGACAGCAACAGACATATGATGTTCTGGCTTCCATTTCACACCATGACTTCAGTGCCACAGGCCATCTTATCGCAATTTTGAACAAAAACTATGCAAATAGGAGTTTTTAACCTCGGCAGCTAGGCCGCTCCTATCTAGGTTCTGGTAGCCTGACAGTATTTCAGCCCTCGTGCTCCCTTCGGGCATGGCAGCTATGCTCCGAAAGGGTGAATATTATTTCATTGTTATTGTTTATACATTCAAATCGCAGTGGTCTTGAGAATGAGGTCATCCTAGAATAGATGCTTTCGAGATATGGCGATAGCACAGTGAACCACCTTTCCTATATCTTTTCAGGGGCTACTTGAGAAGTACGGCATCAGTCATAGCTAATTTTCGCTTGTATGTGGTTCACTTTTCGACGTGATCAAGCCACGTAAACAAATGAGCTGGATTTTTGAGTCTTCGCAGGGTTATCCCTTGAGATACTCACTGATAGTGCTGTGGGAAGTTCTGATGTTTTGAGCTTCTTCATTCAGTGCTCGAGTGACAAGTGGAGACTATTCATTTCTCCAATAAACAGAGCTCACGCTGATCTATTTATTAGGTGAGCTAGTGTTCCTGAGGAAACTTGTATCGCAAAGTCACTCGGAAGGAGTTCCGTTACAGGTAAAAACCAGGAATGCATAAAATCATCATCAGATGCCTACCAATCATATATTATTTAATATTTTGTTGTCTGCTCAGCCCAAATTAGTTTGACTAAAGCTATTTTCGCCATTGCCTAGGCTAGAAAATCAATCCATCAATTCAATACGAGTCAGTACAGTCAGTTTCCACTTACGTAGTTCACTACGGAGGAAATACAGATTGCGTGCATGTCAATCAACAGTGAGTCAAAAAAGCATTCACTTGATCTTTCCACCAGGCGTGTCACCACCATACATTATCATTACATGAGCAAGTAAGGCTAACTCCTAAGGAACACAGCAATGGATGCCTAACTAATAAACACAAGTAATAACGCATGCGAGAGTTTTTCTGCTCCAAGAGGGCCGAAGAGGACGACGCCTCCTAAGCTAGAAGTTACGATTCCATTGTGGTGCACTATTTTATGAATGAAGATGTTGCTGTCGCTTGTGTCCGTCCGGAACTAGTAAGCCAGGCTTCAGAGAGCACTGATACTACCGACTGAATGGACTAAAAATTCATGGTGATATCAAGAGGTGATGAGCATTATCTACCGCATTATTTTAAAAATTGTAGTAGAACAACAGTGCTATAGCAGAATATGCAACAAAGTTCCCTCATTAGGAATTCCTAAGGGTAGATGGTCATATTTACCTGGGGATTCAAGCAGTTTTTCACAAAACCGTCAACCGTCATCAGGTTGAATAGACCCTTGAAACGTTGGGAACATACTCAAATTGGTCATTAAACTTCTGCCGTAGTTTTTTTTAAAGATCACAGTGCTAACTCTATTCAAACAAGGGATACCGCTTATATTTCATTCCACAATTGCACAGTTCAAACTGGTCATTTGTAGCCGGGTGGGCCAACCAAACGACAAATGTTGCCAAGTGGACCACTAGGGTTGTAGGCAGAAGGATAAAAACAATAAAACTAACCTTTTACGCGCAAGAAGAACGCACCGGTGGCGTTCCCTAGAGGGCTGCGCACAGAACACGAGTAAACAGCTCGGTCGTCCGGTCGCAGTGGATTGAAAATAATACGATCATTCAAGTTCTCTTCGGTATCCAAACGTACCCGATCTTCCCAGTCATAGCCAGCGACTCGAGCAAATCCTTGGTTGTCCAACGTGATGGGCTGTTCGTCACGCGACCAACTAACCGGACCTGTGATGGTTGGATAGGCGAGCAGGTGACAAGTGTAGGAAAATTTCCTATCGGAAAAGTATCCCATTCCGTGTTCAGGTCTCTTGATTATCGGAGGCACTTTTAAGAGGAAGAGAGGAAAGACGGTGAAAATAGATGTGGCACTCGAACCCATAACTTATGCATTAGTGTGACAAGGTCTAAATACTTTGTGAAAAAAATATTGCGAGTGGTCAGCTTCCTAAACAAGGCGTAACGTGCTTCACCCACCAGACCTTGTCCACATTAAATCTGGCCGTCAGCTGGACGTCTACCGAATCAGTATCATGAGTCCTTCACGGTAATATTGCCACCAAATTTAATGCAGAAATGAATGCGGATAAACGGCAGACCATCACCACACGATAGCCTGAGCCGCTTGGAAACCCAACGGAAATCGGAAATGAAGGTTCGACATCATTTTTTCTCCTGTCTGGATTTGGACAATTTGGCAGTCGTTCGACATTCTTCGTCCCACGTACAACAGCTGTGCGCCAAATCGATGTCAGCAGAACGATCTGATTCCATATGATTTGAAGGCGTGATTTATTTCGACAGTACCAGTGCGAGAGTAAATGGGAATAGTAACGCAGTGATGCAAAAAACGCAGCCTTTAGATCATCAGTCGGTCTCACTGTTGGCCTTAGCAGTACACTGTAACGGATGCAGGCTTCGCACTGTTCGTTTACACAAGTAAATATCGACCGAAATAGCCCACGCTTTGAGACATACCAGGACCCATTAGAGTGACCCATCAATAAAAACCCAGCGAACATATTATACTTGTGATCAAATGAGCTGAGAACGGAAAATTGGTAACGCCCATTGGAAATCAATCAAATCTAGAGGCATGGAAATCTAAAGAGATGGAAAGAGATTTCGAAGTGAAATGTTCGTATTATTGCAAAGCATGGTATGACTCGCCCATTTTTTTCAATTGTCAGCATCCATCATGGTATTCGTAAGTTCCCGTTTGAATATGGTGACTACCGGACATGACTCAATGGCCAGACTACCTTCTACGAACAGCACAAGTGATGTGTTCAAGCCGTGATTTTTTGCTTTCATTCAAGCCCAAACTATGCTTTCAGGCGATGCCGCCTGAAGGAAACACGAGAGCTGGGACACTCCCAAGTTTCTGGGATCTAGGCAAGGGAAGACGAGAGGCAGAGGTCGGGTTGAAATCACGGACCTTCCGATCACTTAATTCGCGTTCTCACTCCCTTAAGCAGTACGAATGTCGAGAGGTATTCAAAATAATGGTTTCAGCTAGCACCTGGACTCCATTCGATCACCAGTTATTGATCAGTAAACTATTTACCCTATATTTGGAACAAAACAGTGCGATCCATTTCCAAACCAGAAGATCTAGTGTTAAATGACTTCTCGAAAGCACACCCCTCAGAAGACCCCGGTGACTCCTAGGGTGGGGTTCTTTATGCGAAGATTTTGAATTCAAGTTCAAGTTTGGTTGCTTCGAAGACTACAGTAAAATAATGGCCGCTTTCCAAATCCCACGTTTCAAAGACAAATTGCGGCTCTAAGAAACAGAAGCTTGGCATTCATTGTGCAGGATTTTATTGGCAGTAGTCATGAAATATCGTACAGGGTGTTCATATACTCGAATGCAATGTACCTAGATAAACTTTAAAATCGGTAATCGTGCAACCCTGCTGTGTTGCGTTCAATTTACCATAACATACATACACAACATACATAACTTTCGCTACCTCACCAGCAAATGTAGCCAGCTAGTCGATAGGGAGCTTCGCTGATTTATTGCTTCACCATACACAATCAGTACCCAATTTGCCTGGAGGAGTGTGACGCAGTTGTCAGCCTACCATAAACCAGAACGTGGGCTGGATGCAAGCCGGTCCGCTGACTAGACAGGTTATCCCAATCAACTAACGTCGCTTTTTGTTTTAAGTGAAACAGATTTTTTGTGTTTGACAAATCATACATAAAGTTGGTGTTGCTCAGTACATTGAAGCAGTAAAGTGCAGCTTTAGAATTTTTATAACAAAAGGACAGACACACTTACCAATAATTTCTACCTCCGCCGACTCCATTGATCCCGACACAATGTTGAACTGGCAGATATATTTTCCGTAGAGAGCTTGATCAAAAGCTGTCGTAAAATAAGTGATGATAGGAAAAATTGATGTAAAAACCAGAGAGTGAAAAAACTGTCCTCATTTCTTAAAATCAGGTTGCAGTTCCAATGAGTACCGGAACACGTTAAGCGTAGAACCAAACAACCAAAGCGTCTATAGAAAGGTGAAAATTCCTTTAACTCATAATACAGAACTAGCGACACAGACGAAGACATTCCTATTGCAATGACCCCCGATTGCCAGCCTGTAGTTACAGTGTGAGCAATTATAGTAACGCCCGGGATCTATCCTTTTTCTCGACAAAAGAGTCTCCTGCGTGCCAACTCAAGTACCAAAAAGCTAAGCTAGAAAAGCTGAGTGCTGAACTAAAACGGCTGAGATAAGAAAGGCATCAAAACTGAATAGGAGGTTCCTTAGCATGGATAATTAGTTCAGAAAAGCCGTGGCTGTGAAGACAGGTTAATTCATAGAGAAGGGTATTCCTTAGCTTGCGCTGCAGAGGGTGTTAACGGAAGCTCACATGTGGTGCGGGGATTCATGACCCTTCTCTTCTGTAGCGGCCTTATTTTGTTCACATCCTAAGGTTCCACTTGAAGATTACGATAAACTTGAGGGATCATCTTTCCATCAATACAACCTTAGTCTAACCTTTCTGGAGGTTCTACCAAAGAGGCTGGTACGGAAGACAAATCAAGCAATGTTTCATCCTTCGACTCTATCGCGGTATCACATGTCAATGTAATCATGATGCTTGGTGGGCTTACATAGCAACATTCGGTCACTTAGCTCCCTCGCTTGTTAGAATTCGAAGAAAACTCTGCAGGGAGAACCACACTAAATGCTCATCTTGCGTCTCATCCCCCGTTCAAAGGAAGACAAATGAATGTTTTTGGGGCGTGTGTTGAGTCGAGGCAAACTAACCGCTCAGGGGACTTAGAGAATGGCTTTCGTACGTTAGGAATGAGATGTGAGGATATGTCGGTGTATTACTTGCAGCGTTATGTGGTGCAACTAACGGAGTGATCTTTCTTCAGTAGAGCACTGTTGTTCAGCCGAGATGAGCAAGGGTTTCAAATGCGATTGATTAGTATAACAAAGCCCTCATTATAACAAGGCTCTTCAGTACCTACGTGCAAATACCTCTCTAGTAAACTCTGAAGTAACATATGAAAAAAACTATTGCAATAGAGGAGGGATATTTTCAGTGGAGATTGTAATTTAACCCGTTCAGATGGATTTAAATGTCTTCACCTAAGTCTGTCACCTTGGTTTCATCTTTAAAGGAAGAAAGACGTGTCCAGTGACTAGTCCAATTTTACCTAGGTGTTAATATTACAGAGTCAGAGAGTTGTCCTGTAAATATCGCTAAAGAAAGTCAATGGATCCCATGTTAGCGTGGGTCATTGCTATTGAGAGGAAAGCTGCAGAGGGATTTGGTCGTATTGGCTGGCCAACATAAAGGACTGGTCATAATACAGTCAAGAGGTGGGCATCAGAACCTGAACTGACTTTAAGGCTTGACGTGTTTGGATTGCCTGTCCTCTGATCACACCACGGACGCTCATTTAAAATGCCAAACCATTTACGTTGAGGCTACCACGTACGAATATAACTGCTTATGTATCAGCCCAATGAACTTGCAGTGGTTTTTCACGGTTGTTTCTCCAAGAACCTCGACTGCCACTATCCTGTAATCAGCATTTCAGTCCTAACACAGAAAATCTACAGGCACTCCAATTTCACGAAGTACAAAATAAGCAGGTATCGTTGATAAAAAATCTTTTATCTGGTTCCCCACGCTCTTCGAAAAAGTAGGAATAGCCATCAATGCAGCGAAAATCAGACGACAAATAACTGACATCGCAGATATTCGGATCAAACTAACTGGTAAAAGCCAATTATCGATCGGATTTCAGACTTGTATGTACAAAGAGCTAGGTAAACAAGCAATCACACAGGAAGAGCAGCTGCACGCGTGCATCTCCAGTTTCAGTATATCAAATTGGGCAGCAAGCCATAGGAACAGAACCTGCCAGAAAAAAACTAAAATGGAAGCAAAAGTGCACGCCTGTCGTTCAACGATAGTGGGCACATGGAAACCCAAGGTTTACAAAGCACAATTCTGCCCATCCACTGCTGCGCTTTTTCTTTTCCGATCATATGACTGCACTAAATTCCAGACACCCCAGACACTCATCTAATTCAAGCTAATGCATTTCCAGTCACGCAATTTTTAATTGTATTCAAAAGTGACACAGGTTTTCTCGCTTCCAGTCACGTTGTGACAAAAAAAGACAACTGCACTGAGGGTTGTCCTGGTAACCGGGCCATTATTTGTGTTCCAACGGACAAGTAGGTGCTGCTAAGCTCAAACAATTAGGGTGCATTAGAAGTTTAATAGAATCCCACAAGATCCCTCCATGGTCACAGTATAGATGATGTGCGTTTGACTGTTGGATCAAAGGTAATTGTCGAAATCAAAGCGCAACACACAAGTCTTCTGAAAGACATTCCTGTAGAAAACCGTGTTATGCATGAGTTTATTGCGTAGGTCACGATTGTGAAAAAACCCCTCCTTTGACAAGACCTTGCACACTGCGATGCTGCAACGGTTATATGAATTTCTAATAATCTCCCTGATACATTTGTCAGCTATCCTATTTTCTGATAAGCAATAAAGACAGGTTACCAATGTAACCTAAATCGTATCGCACAGCTCGAATTTTCAACAATAGTCCACAATCTGAATCCAAAGCAATTTGCAGCAACAGCATTTTAAACAGCATTTTAAATTTACGTAGAGGTTATCTGAAACCTGATAGCTGCAAGCAGAGAGGTGGTGTAGTTTTGACCTGGCGGGGTGTATAAAAGAGACTACGAGGAGTCTAAGCACTGTCGGTGCGACACGCCTTCCGGGATGGAGTCCACGTGATCCCCAATGTACTTAGTTAGGGATGCTGTAAAATATGGTTGACCTTGTTGCTGGCAATCGGTATCCAGCTAACCTGAATGAGTTTTCAAGGTGCAGGTGCCTAAGAATGATTGTGATAGGCTGGCACTAAGTCCCTTTCCTATCCACTATTATTCTTTTCTTTCTTTCTTTCTTTGAAGTAAAGTTTGGTTGTACGGAAACAAATCATCAGTGCTGAGCGCTGATGTTTCTGTCGGTGATGTTGACGATGAACAACTTCAATAATTTCCGCGAGAAAGACCATCATGAATAAATGGGGTACAGTAAACCCTTCCGAGTCTCTGAGACGAATTTAGTCCACAGGTGGTCCAAAGAAAGCCTTCCTTGCCGAATTTCCACAGGATTTCTCACCTACGGAGAGCTCACCCTTCAGAATGGTCTATGAGTTTGTTTCTCGGAAAGTGATTTGACCCCGAAAAAGCCATTTTGATCCATGGGAAATTGTAGAAATAAACAGTATGTTGACGTTGAATGACGTAACTATAGGGCACAACCTAACCCTCTGGTAGCTTCTAAACTGTCACAAAGTGGGTTAGGCTGACTGAATACGTTTAAAGTTAAGTTTATAACAAAGAGGTATTCAGTTAGAAAGCCCGGTTACCAACTGAGTGAATGCCTTTTACTGGACTTTGTTACATGCCTTATCCTGCAAGGTTTTCAGCCATGTGCTATGAGGCCCACATCCACATCCACATGCCCATTCCACATCACCATATCATGGCCTGTCTTTCTACCAAACAAGATGTGAGGTGAACAGTGAGGTTTTCTTTGACGAGCATGGTCAGTAGTGCATAAATCAAGTGTTACAATACGACAAGCTTCACTTGCTGTACTCACCCAGAGAGGTGAGTAAAGGTGGTGTTACAGAGTGGTGTTGCTATGTTATCTTCAAGCAGTCCGAACCTAGAGGGAAGCTGATTCTTCAGTGAAACCTACATCACAAGAAGTTTTCCAATGATCATGCAACTACTCGATAATATATGCATTGGATTCCACTGAGGATACTTTGGCACAAAAGGTCAGACTGGACGAGAAGGTGTAAGTGGTGGGAACAACGCTATACAGGAAAACGCGCAATTCGATTTGCCTTGATGCATCATCCATAATGAGTAATAATCAGCATGGATTGCACCACGGCTTGGAATCTTGATATCAACAATGGAAGACTTCATCTGAAGTCGCATGGCGCCTCGTATTAGAGAATGGCTTCAAATGACAACTCATCATCCATCAGCTGACTGGCCTTCGTTATACTGTCAATCCGCATTTACGTCACACTCATTCGAATCATCCTCCTCCTATCTAGAAGCAATAATTCTGGAGAGTTCACTCCAAACAGAGGAAGTAGTGGACTCAGGTTTTGCTCTTACTAGAGTCCGTCAGCGATGTACAGAGATATAAACTAATCAGGAAGCGGTGAAATCTCGATCGGTTACAAACAATATCCAGTTGAGTGAAAACAACTACACGCTATATGTATGGGGCCGTTTTTGTTAGAAGCTCACACGTCGGCGTCAAATCATTGTCGCCGGAAATTTCAAACCAAAATGTGTGAGCTATCTGTTGGGGCAGGCGTTCGGCGGGAAAGACGGTTGACTCAAATCACTTCACATAGTTTATAAAGTAATTACCCTACTATTCTGCAAAGTCGTGCTAGCAGTTGACTGACTTTTTTGTCCAGTGTAGCTAGGCGATTTTCTTTACTTACTCAATTCTCTGATGCTTAGGTTGCTCCAAACATATCCGTTCACGTTGTCTAACGTATCAACAATTCTGTACAACTGGGGATGTGTAGCAAGCTTGCCGCCCTTCCAGCGAACAGATGTGTATCTGACACCGTGACGACCAACTTGAAATTGACATGCCACCATCGGCGGATTGCTGGTGTCCATTACGTAGGTTTCGAAATGTAACTGCCCGACGAGTTCCCGTTTTGAAATTAAACGAACTGAGCTGCTCACAGCATTGAGAACTGAAAGTAAATGGTTGAAACGTTAATGAGCGTAGGTTTTTATGCATCAGTTTCACGATTAAAATCGTTCATTGCTAGCTACGGTTTAAAGCTTCTTAAATACATTCATCCAAGCAGATTTTTCAGAAAGTGCAGCATTCAGAAAATACAAAGTGCTTTTGGATATTTACTGAATTGCTTAAGAAAACGAGAATGAAGTGAAGGAAGACTCTCTATCAAAATCTTGGCGCTTCTTGGTGACCATGTGACCCAGTGTAAAATGACACTAGTGAAGCGAGTTTCTTGATGCTGATTAGTATTGACACCTTTTCACAAAAAGTTAAAGTCCCTGAACACAGCTGCAAACTAGTCGACAGGTCATATTTCAAAGGCGCTTGCCATGGGAATAGGAACCATTAACAACCTGCACAAGTGACCCATCAACCAAGAAAACTAACTGAAAATATTAGCTTTTCTGACAATATCTTACTCATTCGCCACCAAGGATACACGTTAAAATGCGCAGCAGTGCTCTTGAAATTGGCCGCGAATTTCACTATCAATTCACAGTTACAACAGCAACTCATCATGTAGCCATCCAAACTAGCATCTAACTCAACCAGTGGTGCTTCAACGACAAACCGCGTCCTATCATCGTGAGTCTCTGAAATCATTTCGTATTTTATCCCCGAATTCAAACTTACCAATCTTTAACTATCCTTAGGGGGTGAGTTGAAAAAACTAATTACCAGGCGTCACAGATAAGAAAAATATCGTGCTGGTTGACGAACCGCACTCAACTGCGTTAATCGGATACCCATCTTATCTATGACATTCAGTAATGTGTTTGTCTTTTAAGCAGTGGTTTGACCTATCACACTGAGTATGAGGGCAATAGTATGGACAGGGTTTAGATGCGGAACGAAGCAATAGTTCTAAACCGATAAGATGTAATCAAAAATGATCATCCGATGGTAACGGACTCATCAACTAGGAAGAATGGAAGGCCTAAACCAAAAGGGGTTTCACATGAAAGCATGAAATGTATGATAGATCAGTGCAAGCTAAGTTCACTTGCACTCAGAACTGCAGCGGTAGAGGTAAAACTATCGAGTGCCACTTGAATTCTGTTTCCTTTATGAGCACTTATCAGTACCTGAAAGCAAGAGCTTTCGACGGTTTCGGTGCTTCGTTTATGACTTTGCTTGGCCTATACAATTCGATTCCTTTACCTAGATGTTGTAATTTCCAACGTGGCCACAGTACATAAACTATTCAAGCGTAATTTTTGTCCTTAAGTTTACAAAATCCCAGGCTACAAATAGAACTACAGACCACCCTTTGTTTTCCTGCACAAACTTTCAATCGCCTCCAATCATCAACACAGATGACCTCATCTATGTGTGCAGCTTCCCTCAAAAAATGTCAATAGATTCCGCTCACAAATTTAGAACCCAAAAGATCGACCTAACAATGCCGAGCATAAAACTGACTGGAATTCTGGACGGCCTTTTACTAGCTTCACGTTTCTTGGGGCCCATGAAGTAGGTCTAGTTTCCCAATCTTCACTACTCTTATTTCCATTATAAGTCCGAATGGATGATAAACCAGCCTTAAGTGAAGCGAGAGTGCTTCTTTCCAGTATTACAGGTCGAGAAACTTCTCCGTTGTCTATAATCTGACCCTTAAGTTTCTGATTTTATTTATTGTCTCATAGTGACCTTACTGCTCCATACGTTTTACTGAACTATGAACAAGATCTGTTATCCAATTAGAGATTATTACTTCCAAAATCTTTAATACCATGTACCATTCTTATGCAGATGGTTCTAGCAGTATGCTTAATTATCGAAACCAATGCCAACGCTTAAAACCCACCCCGATTTCTTTGGCTAACTACCACTGTTCGAGAGTATCTTATTTGGTGTGCGTGTTTGCGAGGCCGACCTCGAGACTTCGGAAAATGAACAAGTTGAAAATATCCCCTCTACCCACCATTCATGCTGCCTCTCTATTATGAGCGCTTGGAATCAACTACATGACTCGAGCTGCCTTAGATAATGAATTCGGGGCGTCTGAGAAAATTCCTAATCTCGAATTTTTTAGTGTACATCTGCCAGGAGCAGGAGGGTCCTCTTTTTACTTCAGTGAGCATCATTTCCAACAAACGACGGGACCAATAAGTTACTGACAAAGCTCCGAATAGTAGTAAGAAACGATGTGTATTATTACAGGAGCCAGTGTTTATAGAATGAACCGGAAAATACCATTCATACTGTAATAGGATTTATATGGTAGCTCTACCTGGTGAAGACGTTCTTCAACCTGGATAACACCCAATTCTGCTACTCGACCAAATACTACAGTAAAGCAAGCCACCAACTTGCAATAACCCAGATAGCACATCTCCAATTCGATATATGAAGCCTGAGGACAGCAAATGAGGTGACGGTGGGGCAGATTTGGCAAATGACACAGCATGAGGAAAAACAAGGTATCAGAACTGATATACTTACTCCCATAGACATGTACACTGATCTGGCGGCTTGCCACATTGTTCGAACATTGGTATATCCCAGCCATCGAGAACTGTACTCTTCTAAACTCCAGAGCAATTTCCCCGCGCTTCGTTTGATCTATTGACAGGTAAGGGGACGCTGATACAGGCAAAAACGTGTTGGATTCGAATACAGAATAGTGCCACAATAGTTGTTCATTCACCGAGGAAGTTCGACATACGATTGTTACATGGGAGTTGTAGGTCAGGGCCACGTGCTCCAATCGTTTCTGGTTGCCATGAACATCCAAAATGTATAAATCTGGGGTAATTGATGCTGAACGTAGATAAGGGAGAGAAGAAGGAACACGGATGTCAACAAACAATGCGGTTGATCGAGGTGTGTCGAAGAGCATCGAATTACTAATTACAGTGGACTTCCTTGAATACCAATCAATTGGGTTGCACATGGGGAGTATGTGGCAATGAAAGATGTTTGGAAGCGTAGTTTTAGGCCCATTTTTCCATCCTTTTAAGCACAAGAGTATCTAGATCATCGACGCCAAAAAAGGTTTAATTTTGTGTTTTTTACTACAACTAACAGGAAGAAACAAACAAATTAATGGATTGTTGAATGCTCAAGGAAAAATCAAAGTAGTTATTGAGGTGAGAAACTTATTGAGCCTGGTCTCTGAGAATCTTAATTAATATCCTTAAATGTTGCATGAACATTTATATGCAGCAAAAACATACCTGAATAGAAAATAGGCATACTAGCGGAATCAGTATGAAAGTAAAACCTGCAGGCGAATCTAATTCCTGTTAGGACAGACCTTCATACTAATTTATTTCCTTGAAACTGTCATAAAGTATGAAATATATGTTCTTTAGGTAACTGCATCGTGTCCTCTTCAGTTCTACACGTTTTATTTTTCGTTTTAATCACGAAGTAGCCCGGATGGGCAAGACCTTATGATGTTCCTCAAAATGAAACTTTTCACCTTTTCTCTTGTTTTTTCGGACACATGAAAGTTAACCAGGTAACCAGGAAGTCGATGATGAACCTGATATGTTCCTTAACCGGACGCTGTACTCTCATGCTATCGCACTGACGTTTCTTGCGGACAAAATACTAACAGTGTAAATGCGCAACTGTGAATTATGCAAACTCTCGCACTTCCCTTGGTAAATACCTGTTTTCGCAATTCGTGATCACCATAACGGAGTGCTCGTTTTTGAGTCAGGGTTGTTTTTCGATTTTTCTGGCGTCGCGTCCAGCAGACATTCTGTCTATGTTGGTTATAATCTGCCTACTAGAATACGTTTCCTCCACGTCAGACTCAGAGGGTCTGTACTGTGTGTTCAAATGAAGTTTATCCTTCTGAAGAAATATAGACAGACACTGTAATACTAACTAGCTTTTGGCAGATTCGTACTATGAATATGTGGGAGTATGTTGTGGCTTACCTATTCATTATCAGTGGACCAGCGTTTGAAGCCTGTCACTCTGTTAATATGTGAAGCGTTGAATAGGACATTCTCCAAAGAGCTGTATACAAATAAAACACCGTCTTGCTCACCGGACTTTTACGGTAGTGAAGCATCGGTGTTGAACATTGATGTCATGCTGTCGATGAGGATGATGAGGATGATGACTTTTTAGCTGTGTATAAATGGCAGCCGTGAGTCTGGGAACGGTACAATCCCCTCCTTCATCTGCTGCACTCAGATGCTCACTGCCGTCTGCTTTGTGCCAGACAAACCGCCCTACAAATTTTATTAAATTCCATCCAACCACTCGCCACGTGTGCTCGGCTATGTTCGATCCTTTATCACAACCATACCGGTCAGTTGAAAGAACGCAGAAACTTATCCACTCTCTACTTTAAGCGGGGCTATTTTTTTTGAGTCTTTGGGTGCCACCCTCACATTTACCAAAGAAGGACTGCAACTCTCATGCACTCGACCCCTAAAAAGTCCGGCACCACAAATATTTACTTTTACCTACAAAAATATGGTGATTTTCGTCTCCAGCGGTGCTTCGGTTAAGCGTCCGGAAGCACTTTACTTCACACGGACGACAGAAAACACGGATTCTGCAATTGGCCACAGTCACCTAACAAACTACCTTGCTTTTATTTGAAGTTTCTTCCCTCAAGAGAACTAACTTCCGCGTACGTGCCAATAAATTCAACTATTTGAGAAACTCTAAAGCTAGTTTTTAAGACCTATTTCTCTGATATATGGTTAACCGGATGCAATTCGAATGTGAGCTGGTGTGGGCAGAAGCAGCACCATTATTCACGTCTTCTACCTCATTTCAGCCGGTCGCACACAACAAATAAAAATCTCAGTGTCGACCGGAAACTAGTAATCAAATTACCTTGGGCAGATTAATTGTCATAGTTTATTTTTCGTGCCAAGCCAACTATGCATCTCAAGAATAAAACAACCTCTATGAGAGAACACTGCTGGTCTGCACGACTGAACAGTTCCAAAAATAAAGTCAACAAACTTAGGAAAGAGCAATTCTTCATTTATTAGGCTCAGCAGCCTTGATGGACCATGAAGGCCTTTTCTACAAGTTGTTCTTCCTTTTGGCTGATCGCCACCATCCGTTATCTGGGGGTACCGTCTGCTGCAGTTTATTTAGACATGCTCGAAAAGTATTAGTGTCATACCGAAGTCATGCAAAACAGACGGACATATTTCGCATGAAGTATAGCCTACCCAGTCTATTAAAGACAGCTACTGTGGTGGAATGAATCGGTTTCATCTATACTGCTGGTTAATATTTCTCATTGCACTGCACGTGGTAGCAAGTTCCGGTCAAATGCTATTTCTAGAGGTGAGAGCATACTACTTAAGTTCTAAGTTGGGACTTCATCGTGGCTAGCTTCATTTTCAGCTGATTCGCACAGCTGCAGCGCCGATGGTTGTGAAAAACTGAATAAAAAGCCGTTCGCAATGGTTTTTTCGTTTTGGAAAGAAAATATCCAAAACGTTGTGGTTTAATGCCACTGGAGGGATCAGCGGACAACATAAGTGGAATGTCTTTCGCTCAGGGTGTTGTACTTTCTGTGAGTATTCCAGTGAGTTCCGTTCAATGACGATTTTCCTACACAAATGACTTTCAGAAGCCACAGTTTGTAGAGTTGATGTTCTTTACAGCTAATACCGTTGTTGGAAGATCAGCTTCACTCACCACCTGGTTACACAATTGACTAGCTTGATCCATAATTACGTGAGTAGCTTCACTTTTTCAGCTTGCTCAGTAATATAATAATAATATAATGATAATATACATTATAATAATAATATAATAACAATATACATTTGGAAATAACCTATCTTTCAGCCGACCAGGTTACTACAAACTGAAGCACTTATAAGAAGGCAAAGGCAATCTTAGACGGCCTAATGAAAAAACAGTCTACGAAAAACGAAAAACTAGTATGTATGTACTCCAAAATATACCTGCTCAAAGTCATTCAAATGAATAGTCTTCACTTGAGCACATGATGCACACTGGCTTGAAAACAACGCCCTTCAACAGTCTCAGTCTTATGACCGTCTTCCTTTACTCAGTTAAACATCTCGGTCAGGTTCTGCTCTGGTTCACATTTGGAAAGAAACGAACCTCATACTGTCCTCTAGCTGTAGTGAATAGCTCGTCCTCTTGGCTCTTTTAAACCACGTCTACCCGTATTCGTGTGGCCCATGTGCTCCATATTTTTTTCGATTGCAAATAACGTTTGTCTCTAACCCAAAATATCATACATTTATGCTGCCCAAGTAGCACAGCTCATTGGAGCAGCTGTCTTGCAGTGTCATGGTATGTGCCCTATTGTTGAACTTGTGATAAGTTACTTCAAGGGTTGAGAAGGCATTCAAAACTTTATTGACCTTATTTGGCAAGCAAAAGGGATATTAAGAGGTAACAAACTAGCTTTAATGGGGTTTTACCCAGTTTACACAGACCCGAGACTTAGAATCTTTAAAACCGAATTATTAAACAGCGTATACTGAAGTTTGTGACAGATGTGTACTGCAAAGTATACATAAGTGTCCAATAAAGTGCAAAAGGTTCTAGATGATTTTTACACATCAAACGTGTTCATTCTGAATTTTAGTTCGTTTGATGGGCCTTCTTACAATAGGTACTAGAGTCCTAAAAACTTACTGTCCTCCTTTTGAGTTCACTTACCTGGAGAGTAGATATTTTTTCGAGCAAACGTATAGAGAACCAACTAAAAATATTCACCAGTCGTAAATGGCTAAGCATCATCTCAGTCGGCTTAAAACGCGTACGAAGTAGTTATAGGACACCGTAAGGCATCACCTATGACTCGGGTATGTGATTCTTTATCTGTGAACTCTCAATGTCCGAAATGCGTCCGGTTGGCAACTGGTTTTCGATGTGTGTTCATACACAGGGTATACAATATTCACCAAGGGGACACAGCTCATCCAGCCTGTCAGTTTACGTAAGTATGGGCAGGAACTGGCGATGAAACTCCAAGAGGAGGGGGATGGAACGGTCGGTTTACTATATGGGGAATTATCAGATCACGTAAGACTACGGAATGTTGTCGAATAGGTCATTTGGATCATATTGAAATGCCCTGGAATAAATGCCATCTGGTGGTAGTAAAGTTATGAAACCAAAACACTGGTTATTAACGCAGTCCATGCCCCGCATTTAAAAGGAGGGAAAACAGTAGATGATTCTATGGGTATAGACCGGAAAGACCATCAAGCTTACTGTTACTCGCCCAAATTTACAAAGATAGAAGCCAATTTTCCGTCCAGACTTAAAAGGGAGGGGTAAGCTTTGACTGAACCTGTCAGACGAAATTTCTCTCTTTGGGTAGCTTGACGCAAATAAAAAAGGAAGTGCAAGGAGCAATCGCTAACATGAATACGTCACGGCCACCCGTCGAAGTCTAATAGTATCATCCTTCAACATACATTTGAAGTGACCGCTATAGGTGAATTGCAAGTACCATTCAATCAAAATTTCATCCCATTCGTAAGGAAAAATAATTAGGGCAGCAATAGGATAGGCCAGGTTACGCATCTTAGATACTAGAACATGCGTCCTTTATCTAAGGATACCAAGGTTATCGATCGGTTCACGGTGGATGAGTAATCGCGGAAAGTTTTCAGCTCTCCTTTTCGCGCTTGGATTCCAAGTAGGACGAATCTTCTCCACTGAGAGCTTCCAGACGATAGGTAACTTCTTCGCAGGACAATCCTTCCAGAAGGGACACTCCGTAACCAAACGACCTAAACTATGCAGCTTTTCAAACGGCCCTGCTCCATGCAGCTAACTCG